ATATTTGCGAGGAGGTCGATGATGCGTTGATGACCTCTTTACAAATCATGTTCTCCTAATAACGCAAGCGTGAAAATTTTCGAAAATTCGTTTCTTATTATTTTATATTATCAGGAGAATATATTTTGCGAGGAGGTCGATGATGCGTTGATGACCTCTTTACAAATCATGTTCTCCTAATAACGCAAGCGTGAAAATTTTCGAAAATTCGTTTCTTATTATTTTATATTATCAGGAGAATATATTTTGCGAGGAGGTCGATGATGCGTTGATGACCTCTTTACAAATCATGTTCTCCTAATAACGCAAGCGTGAAAATTTTCGAAAATTCGTTTCTTATATTTATATTATCAGGAGAATATATTGTGCGAGGAGGTCGATGATGCGTTGATGACCTCTTTACAAATCATGTTCTCCTAATAACGCAAGCGCGAAAATTTTCGAAAATTCGTTTCTTATAATTTATATTATCAGGAGAATATATTTGCGAGGAGGTCGATGATGCGTTGATGACCTCTTTACAAATCATGTTCTCCTAATAACGCAAACGTGAAAATTTTCGAAAATTCGTTTCTTATTATTTTATATTATCAGGAGAATATATTTTGCGAGGAGGTCGATGATGCGTTGATGACCTCTTTACAAATCATGTTCTCCTAATAACGCAAGCGTGAAAATTTTCGAAAATTCGTTTCTTATTATTTTATATTATCAGGAGAATATATTTGCGAGGAGGTCGATGATGCGTTGATACCTCTTTACAAATCATGTTCTCCTAATAACGCAAGCGTGAAAATTTTCGAAAATTCGTTTCTTATTATTTTATATTATCAGGAGAATATATTTTGCGAGGAGGTCGATGATGCGTTGATGACCTCTTTACAAATCATGTTCTCCTAATAACGCAAGCGTGAAAATTTTCGAAAATTCGTTTCTTATTATTTTATATTATCAGGAGAATATATTTTGCGAGGAGGTCGATGATGCGTTGATGACCTCTTTACAAATCATGTTCTCCTAATAACGCAAGCGTGAAAATTTTCGAAAATTCGTTTCTTATTATTTTATATTATCAGGAGAATATATTTTGCGAGGAGGTCGATGATGCGTTGATGACCTCTTTACAAATCATGTTCTCCTAATAACGCAAGCGTGAAAATTTTCGAAAATTCGTTTCTTATTATTTTATATTATCAGGAGAATATATTGTGCGAGGAGGTCGATGATGCGTTGATGACCTCTTACAAATCATGTTCTCCTAATAACGCAAGCGTGAAAATTTTCGAAAATTCGTTTCTTATTATTTTATATTATCAGGAGAATATATTTTGCGAGGAGGTCGATGATGCGTTGATGACCTCTTTACAAATCATGTTCTCTTAATAACGCAAGCGCGAAAATTTTCGAAAATTCGTTTCTTATAATTTATATTATCAGGAGAATATATTTTGCGAGGAGGTCGATGATGCGTTGATGACCTCTTTACAAATCATGTTCTCCTAATAACGCAACGTCGAAAATTTTCGAAAATTCGTTTCTTATAATTTATATTATCAGGAGAATATATTTTGCGAGGAGGTCGATGATGCGTTGATGACCTCTTTACAAATCATGTTCTCCTAATAACGCAAGCGCGAAAATTTTCGAAAATTCGTTTCTTATATTTTATATTATCAGGAGAATATATTTTGCGAGGAGGTCGATGATGCGTTGATGACCTCTTTACAAATCATGTTCTCCTAATAACGCAAAGCGTGAAAATTTTCGAAAATTCGTTTCTTATTATTTTATATTATCAGGAGAATATATTTTGCGAGGAGGTCGAGATGCGTTGATGACCTCTTTACAAATCATGTTCTCCTAATAACGCAAGCGTGAAAATTTTCGAAAATTCGTTTCTTATAATTTATATATCAGGAGAATATATTTGCGAGGAGGTCGATGATGCGTTGATGACCTCTTTACAAATCATGTTCTCCTAATAACGCAAGCGTGAAAATTTTCGAAAATTCGTTTCTTATAATTTATATTATCAGGAGAATATATTTACGAGGAGGTCGATGATGCGTTGATGACCTCTTTACAAATCATGTTCTCCTAATAACGCAAGCGTGAAAATTTTCGAAAATTCGTTTCTTATTATTTTATATTATCAGGAGAATATATTTGCGAGGAGGTCGATGATGCGTTGATGACCTCTTTACAAATCATGTTCTCCTAATAACGCAAGCGTGAAAATTTTCGAAAATTCGTTTCTTATTATTTTATATTATCAGGAGAATATATTTGCGAGGAGGTCGATGATGCGTTGATGACCTCTTTACAAATCATGTTCTCCTAATAACGCAAGCGTGAAAATTTTCGAAAATTCGTTTCTTATATTTATATTATAAGGAGAATATATTTGCGAGGAGGTCGATAATGCGTTGATGACCTCTTTACAAATCATGTTCTCCTAATAACGCAAGCGTGAAAATTTTCGAAAATTCGTTTCTTATAATTTATATTATCAGGAGAATATATTGTGCGAGGAGGTCGATGATGCGTTGATGACCTCTTTACAAATCATGTTCTCCTAATAACGCAAGCGCGAAAATTTTCGAAAATTCGTTTCTTATAATTTATATTATCAGGAGAATATATTTGCGAGGAGGTCGATGATGCGTTGATGACCTCTTTACAAATCATGTTCTCCTAATAACGCAAACTTGAAAGTTTTCGAAAATTCGTTTCTTATTATTTTATATTATCAGGAGAATATATTTTGCGAGGAGGTCGATGATGCGTTGATATCTCTTTACAAATCATGTTCTCCTAATAACGCAAGCGTGAAAATTTTCGAAAATTCGTTTCTTATTATTTATATTATCAGGAGAATATATTTTGCGAGGAGGTCGATGATGCGTTGATGACCTCTTTACAAATCATGTTCTCCTAATAACGCAAGCGTGAAAATTTTCGAAAATTCGTTTCTTATTATTTTATATTATCAGGAGAATATATTTTGCGAGGAGGTCGATGATGCGTTGATGACCTCTTTACAAATCATGTTCTCCTAATAACGCAAGCGTGAAAATTTTCGAAAATTCGTTTCTTATTATTTATATTATCAGGAGAATATATTTTGCGAGGAGGTCGATGATGCGTTGATGACCTCTTTACAAATCATGTTCTCCTAATAACGCAAGCGTGAAAATTTTCGAAAATTCGTTTCTTATTATTTTATATTATCAGGAGAATATATTTTGCGAGGAGGTCGATGATGCGTTGATGACCTCTTTACAAATCATGTTCTCCTAATAACGCAAGCGTGAAAATTTTCGAAAATTCGTTTCTTATTATTTTATATTATCAGGAGAATATATTGTGCGAGGAGGTCGATGATGCGTTGATGACCTCTTCACAAATCATGTTCTCCTAATAACGCAAGCGCGAGAATTTTTGAAAATTCGTTTCTTATTATTTTATATTATCAGGAGAATATATTTTGCGAGGAGGTCGATGATGCGTTGATGACCTCTTTACAAATCATGTTCTCTTAATAACGCAAGCGCGAGAATTTTCGAAAATTCGTTTCTTATAATTTATAATATCAGGAGAATATATTGTGCGAGGAAGTCGATGATGTGTTGATGACCTCTTTACAAATCATGTTCTTCTAATAACGCAAGCTCGAGAATTTTCGAAAATTCGTTTCTTATAATTTATATTATCAGGAGAATATATTTTGCGAGGAGGTCGATGATGCGTTGATGACCTCTTTACAAATCATGTTCTCCTAATAACGCAAGCGCGAAAATGTTCGAAAATTCGTTTCTTATTATTTTATATTATCAGGAGAATATATTTTGCGAGGAGGTCGAAGATGCGTTGATGACCTCTTTACAAATCATGTTCTCCTAATAACGCATAACGCAAGCGTGAAAATTTTCGAAAATTCGTTTCTTATTATTTTATATTATCAGGAGAATATATTTTGCGAGTAGGTCGAAGATGCGTTGATGACCTCTTTACAAATCATGTTCTCCTAATAACGCAAGCGTGAAAATTTTCGAAAATTCGTTTCTTATAATTTATATGATCAGGAGAATATATTGTGCGAGGAGGTTGGTGATGCGTTGATGACCTCTTTACAAATCATGTTCTCCTAATAACGCAAGCGTGAAAATTTTCGAAAATTCGTTTCTTATAATTTATATGATCAGGAGAATATATTGTACGAAGAGGTCGATGATGCGTTGATGACCTCTTTACAAATCATGTTCTCCTAATAACGCAAGCGTGAAAATTTTCGAAAATTCGTTTCTTATTATTTTATATTATCAGGAGAATATATTTAGCGAGGAGGTCGATGATGCGTTGATGACCTCTTTACAAATCATGTTCTCCTAATAACGCAAGCGTGAAAATTTTCGAAAATTCGTTTCTTATTATTTTATATTATCAGGAGAATATATTTTGCGAGGAGATCGATAATGCGTTGATGACCTCTTTACAAATCATGTTCTCCTAATAACGCATTAAAAAAAAAAAAAAAAAAAAAAAATTTCGCGAACAATTAATGTTCGAAATAATTTACACATTGCCATCCGCGTTTTGTGGGCTCTTAATGCTCTTTACTTAATTATCATGTTGATAAATACATATAGCCGTATTATTTATCAATTTAATTTGAAAAATATTTGTTTCATCTTTGAATATTACAGTATCTGTCGCGATTGAATAGTTTATTTATTATCAATTTACACACATAAGTATTTAGTTGTTATATAGCACTAGTGCTACCGGCATTTCGTGCACATAGCACGGAACAAAACCAGAAATTGTGCAATTATATATTACCCTCTGAGAACATTCAAGGACTTTGATTTTGTAGTTCATGTCCATGTTTTGAATGTCCATAGAGGGAGTATCACTTTTGGGGTCACTCCATAGCTTGGACATGAACCATAGCTCAGACACGAACCATGTATTATTATCGACTGTCATGGATGTAGTTGACGTCCACTTTGTCAGGGAGCGCATTAGGACAATATACCCGTTAAAGCGAGGTGGCCGCTCTCAGGTTTCTCTCTGTTTTCAACACATTTTCTAATCGAGGACTAGTAAGTTTAATGCAAGAGCTTAAAAAAAATTATAGTTTTCTATCTAGCTACTATATAAGCAACGGAGTAAGGAGAAAATAGTAACGAGGCACGCGATACGTAATCATCTTTTTAATAACGTCAGCTGAGTGGTGCAACTGCATCGTGGTATGTTAGACACGTGTTATTAGATTTGCACATATTTTTTTAGTTTATTTAAAAAAAATTATAAGGTAAATTAATTATAAATTAATTGATTGTGTATTGCGAATTAATTGGTAATAGTTTTATAAATTAATTTATAAACTTATTAAGAAAAATATAATTTAATTTTTCAAGTTTTTTAGAATATAATATTAATTATGTTAGCCTAAGTTTATGAGTAAATTATAAGAGAAAAAAATAGTATTTTTGATTAAAAAAGTAATGTTTTATATCCTAGATATAAACTAGAAATGGCTAAGAGATCACAACCAGCTTGGCATCTGCCAGAAAGGAAAGATACTAGTGTGCTACGGTTATACAATAGTTTGACTAGAGAAAAAGAAGTATTTGTCCCACAATTTGGAAATCGTGTTCTGTGGTATTGTTGCGGACCTACCGTATATGATGCATCACATATGGGCCATGCAAGGTAATAAAAATATTTTCACAAACATAATTTTTTTATTTTACTTTTGATATTATTATAAATGTATTAATTAAATAATTTAAGTGTATTATATATGTTTATGTATATTAATATACAAATGTTTCTTTTGATGCAGATCATATATATCTTTTGATATTTTACGTCGTATATTGTCAGATTATTTTGGATATGATGTTTTATACGTTATGAATATTACTGATATAGATGATAAAATTATAAAAAGAGCAAGACAAAATTACTTGTATGAAGACTATGTAAAACAAAATCATAGTCTTGATTACATGTTGCACGATATGGAAGCAGTAATATGTACTGTTGATGGAACTGTAAGAACTACAACTGACCCTGATAAAAAATGTATGATAGAAAAGATGCTATATAAAATAACAAAAGCTATTGAAGATCTGGAAAAAGCAGTTAAAGGAAAAGATAAAGATCAAATTGCACTTTATCAAAAAGTATTGTTTAATGCAAAGAATTTCATCTTTAAAATTATCTTTTATTAATATAAATAAGTAATATTAATGCAACATTTATGTATAGGAATTTCTGGAAGAAATTAAAGATCCTTTAGCTACCTGGTTAGATAAGAAATATGGCAAAGATGTTACAGAGCATTCAATATTTACTAAATTATCTAAAGATTGGGAATCAGAATTTCATAAAGATATGGATGCTTTAAATGTAAGAGATTTCAATATAATACCAAAGCAAATAACATCTATTTTCTGAACATAAAGTTAATTTTTATAATTATCTATAATATTTTGCACAAATTATTCAGGTATTAAGACCAAATGTACTGACAAGAGTTAGTGAATATATCCCTGAGATAATAGCATTTGTACAAAAAGTAATAGATAATGGATTTGCCTATGAAAGTAATGGATCAGTATACTTTGATGTAGGCAAGTTTGATAAACAGGAAAAACATTCCTATGCTAAACTTGTACCAGAAGCATATGGTGATACGTCAAGTTTACAAGAGGGAGAGGGTAAGTTCTAACCATTATTTTTTATATCTTGATTTTTCTAGATTTAATTTTTTAATTTTTTCAATAAGGTGATTTGAGCGTTACCGAAGATAGACTCTCTGAGAAGAGATCAGTGACAGACTTTGCACTTTGGAAGAGTTCAAAAACAGGTGAACCATGGTGGGACAGCCCTTGGGGCAAAGGACGGCCTGGATGGCATATTGAGTGCTCGGTCATGGCTTCTGCGATTTGCGGAGAGAGCTTAGATATTCATACAGGCGGTGTAGATCTTAAATTTCCTCATCACGATAATGAAATTGCACAAGCGGAAGCGTATTTTGATAATTCAAACTGGGTCAAATATTTCTTGCACTCTGGTCACTTGACTATAGCCGGCTGTAAAATGTCAAAATCATTAAAAAATTTTGTAACTATACAAGATGCTTTAAAGAAGTATTCGTCGAGACAACTCAGACTTGCATTTCTTTTGCATTCATGGAAAGACACTTTAGATTATAGCGATAATACTATGAATATAGCTGTACAATATGAAAAGTTCCTTAACGTGAGTATTTTTGTTATATTTTATGTGTAAATCTAATGCATATTTCAAATCTAGTTTTATATATTTATACAATAAAATCAACGCTTACAGGAATTCTTTTTAAACATAAAATGTAAAATTAGATGTTTGGGAACGAAAACTACTATTGATAGTTTTATTAAATGGTTTAATCCAGAAATAGAACTCAATAAGAACTTTCATCTTGCTAAGCATTCCATACATAAAGCATTATGTGGTAAATGTTTTTAAATTTTGATTAGACCCTCATTTATTGATAGTTTTAGATGTATATTACTAAAGATATATTTATTACAGATAATATCGATACAAGAACTGTTCTCGAAATAATACGAGAACTTGTCACGAATTGCAATGTGTACATGAGTCAAAATAAAAATCCAAATACTCTTCTCCTTAGGGATATTGCTGCATATATTACAAAAATGTTTATTATTTTTGGGACTATTTCTTCTTCATACGAGTCGATCGGATTTCCAATTGATGATGAGATAGTTGGTATAAATGTAAGATGAATATATCTCTTGATTGATATATCTCTTTCGTCTTAGAAAAATTTTATGTATGAATTTATATATACATAAATTTTTTATGATTAGGTTGAAGAGACTATTATGCCATATTTGGAAATTTTGGCTAATTTCCGGCAGAAAGTTCGAAATTGCGCGAAAATTTTGAAAGCGAATGATATTTTGCAAGAATGCGATATATTGCGCGACGATATCTTGCCGAACGTTGGAGTGCGGTTGGAAGATATTAATGAAGAGGACTGTAAAAGTAAAGTAAAATTAGTTAACAGAGAAGAGTTGTTAAAGGAGAAAGAAATTAAGAAGAAATTGGAACTCGAGAAAAACGTGGAAAAAGAAAAGAAAAAAGCAGAGGCTGCTGCTACTGCAGCGGCGAAAGAAGCACAGAAAAAAATATCACCGAATGATATGTTTAGATTGGAAAAAGACAAATATTCTCAGTTTGACGATGAGGTGAAAACAACTTATTATATAGCGATAGAATAGATTTATATTATCGTCAGATTCGTGTACATATTCTGATGTTTTATATAATTTATATATATTTCTATAGGGATTGCCAACACACGATGCTGAAGGTAAAGAGCTAAGCAAAGGTTTGCTTAAGAAATTGCAAAAGTTACAACAAGCACAGCAAAAACGGTATAATGAATATTTAGTGTCAATGCAGAATGGTTGCTTATAATATTTTATATGCGAGAATCAATTTAGTTATGAATTTGAATTGTGCAGAATATTTAATTTATATCTCGAAAATACAAGCACTATTTTATCATTATAAAGATAATAATTATTATGTTTTGCATTGAATATTTAAATTATTTACAAGTTTATATGATTTTTCAAATATGTGTGTGTATGTATGTATGAATACTTAATATTTAAATTAATTAAATTCAATAATATAATATAATATTATAAAATATAAAACTTTTTGAAGCTTTGTTCTAAAAGCTTTAATTAATGAGTTTGATTTAAGCGTATTTTGTATCAGTATCTTTTTTACAATTAAGTATTTTTAATTACTAAATTACTTTCAAATCGTATTTTATTAGTAATCTACGTATATTCCTTGTTTGTAGTATTTATACTAAATATAATTGCAGCGCAAAAATAATATGCGAAATTTCATATTTAGTAATATTGTAAAAGCTATTATTATACAAAATAAGTTAGCTTCATTTAGAGTTTATATATTTTAAACATATATTATGATACGTATAAATATATGTGGCTTTATATAATAAATATTTTTTGCCATGATTCGCGCATTGATTCTCTTATTGTGAGCAACTCTACCATTATATAATTTTTTTAAATTTAAATTTATTTGAATAAATATTCATCAATACGCTTATAGATCGTTAATAGTGAGAATTAATTTATTAATTAGCTTACTAATTTTTAAAAATTTTTCACATAAATATTTCTTTTAAAAAAATTTGAAACTAATTTCTATTTAATTTGTATTTAATTTTTTAATTATTTGAGCCAAATTTCAAATTTGTATAATTTTCATTTTTATTTTAATATTTCATCATTTCCATAATTTTAATTTTGATTTTTCATAATTTTATATTTCTTTGCATTGCAAATTAATTTCGATGCTTTGCTCATCACATAAAGTCCAAGTCTATAATCATTTCAAAGATATAATTTATATTTGATCGAGAAATTATTTATGTACATTAATTTAATACTATTATTTTAAACCAAATTTTCTTCAATTAAAAGAAGATATTTCTTTTTTTAAATGAGATTTTTAAAAAATTATAGTTAAATGATATATACCGTTAGAAAATAAATAGCATGCATTTTGTAATATACAAATTAAGGAAAGGATACTTCAATATCGAAACTTTTGACAGCATATTCATATTTAACATATATCACATCGATGCGATTCGAAACTGGTCGTACAAAATAAATGTTACGCGTTTTCATTCTGCCGGATGAATTTGACGCGCGATGTTGTCCATTATTAAAACATAATACCCCTTTCATAACGAGAGCAAGTCACAAGCCGACAATGACAGCTTCGTAAATGCAAAAGCGATATAATGCTAGCTCGTGTGGCGAAGCGCGAACCCGATATTCATCCCGTATTCGAAAGCAGTGAAAACCCGCGAGGCAGGCGAACACAGGTCGACCCGTCAGTCGCTTTTCCAACTTGCCCGTATAAAATACGCATCGTCTATCCGATAATAACCATGTCCAGTCCCGAAAACTCGCGTTGGAATAATCGGTAGAAAGCACCCTCCTATCTCCGATTACAAATTATGTTTCCGGGCTGGAACGAAGCGGCATTAAATCCACTCCCATTGAAACGTTCATTCTTAATCGAGAAAGTTTAATGTGATATCGTGTCACATTCGCGCTTATATATTTGTGTCATATATCGCTGTTACTCGTATAACAAAGCATTTCGCGTAGAAGTAGTTTCCTTTAGAATCGCAGTTTTTTTTATCGAAACTTTTATCGAAACTTATCGATTCTTATTGTATTTAATTTTTAATTATGTATCTAATTTTTCATATATCGATACATATTTTAATTGATTCCTTTTTAATCTATAATTCTATATTTAATTTTATTTTTATATAGGATGAACTTTTTCGTCATAATTAAATGAAAATTGAAAAATGTTTTTTTTATGTTAAATAGTTGAATCTTTTCTTCGTAAATTGTCGTCGACGAAATCGCGATGTCTTTTTGATCGTATGCATATACATCACAATTTATTTTCTCTCTTCCATCGTTATTCGCAGCAATATGCGAAAAATAATGCAATGCGTGACAGTTGAAAAAGAAAAGAAAACTCTTGAATATGAAATCAAGAGAAATGAAAAAGCAAACAGACTCTTCTCGTGATCTGTCCCCGCTCTTCGCGTGAATGGACATGTAAATTTTCAACACCCTAAAATACAAGAATCTCGATTTGTGATTGACACATATATTCCCAGTGTTTATGTATAAAGTTTCCTGGTATTGTCAGATGCTCTTTAATTTATGGAGTCTATAAAAATCATTTTTTTTCCTCTAAGAAACATTCAAGGGAACATCATCATTTATTGCAACAGTTTAAATCTCTATTAATTTTCAATCTTCTTAAAAATAAATTTTTAATTTCTGGAATAAAAAAGTTGCCTGCAAAAATGTCTGTAAATTATTCGTGTTAATCGTGTAAATTATTATCTTCAATAAAAATATAAGATTTGTGATTTTATGCGAGACGTTCAAATTTTAATACGTAAATTTATATTAATTATAAATCTTACGTTAATTATAAATCTATAAAAATCATAAATTTGAATAGTTGAATTTATATTTTAACGAAAAATTTTGTATCTTTTTAAACATTTTTAAATTGCTTAACTTTTTTCAATTTCTTAAATATCTCAATAACACAACAACGCTTCGTTTGATGCTAAAATAATTATTATCTTAAAAAATTTATTTAACATATTATCTTAAAAACTTAAATTCAAGGCTTAATTATCAAGATATCAACATATCGTCATAAAAGTATCGAAAAGGAAATAACACACATCGTGAAGCGAAGAATTTTGCTTGGATATCAGACATGAAATTTCCATGTCGATAACATATCTCAATAACGTGTCAAATAAAATAAATTTTTTTATTGAACCAGTGATATATATTGCACTACTCCAATTCTTCTCCAACATCCATTCATAGATTTGCGTGGTACATTCCAAGGCCAGTGTGTCCTCCGTTTTTAATTTCTGATTACAATCAAATTTAAATTTCTGCAAAACGATTACTATATCGAATATTATCAATAAAGAAAATTATTTTTTATAATATAATGTATAAAAATGCAATTCCTTAGCTTTTTATATTTAGCAAAATTCTATGTAACACACTTGAAAGGATATGCATATCACTAATGCAAAATATAACAATCGATTATCCAAAAATGTGACTTGTAGGCAAACCGGAATTCCTGACAATTTAATATAAATTTAAGCAGCAAAGAGCAGCACTTCTCTCTCAGAAAGGACGAACACTCGTGTCGTTAGAAAATTGAAACTCTTCCCTTTCGTTCATGTTAATTTGCGAGAACGCAAAGTGACAAGCCGCCTCGATGATGGATCGAACGTTCATCCTGCAAGACGATATCGTCCCTCGTCTTCGTCGACGCTCCTGGACGTCGATGGGAAGCAGAGGGGTCGACGAACCAGCCAATCGTGCCGGGGCCCGTGCATCTGAATTCTAATGAGGTCCACTTGGGTATATATGAGCTTAAGCTCGTCGCTTCGACCGCGCTTTTTCCGAGGTGATCTGCCTGTCGCGCAGGTGAGTGTCCCTTCTTTTCTCTCTTCGCTCTCTTTCCACAAGATCCTTCGGCATTCTCTATCTGCACATCTTTAATATAACGAATAGCTTCGACACTCTTCGGACATGAATGTTTCTGTGAATGAATTCGCGGAATGGAATAATAAATAATTGATAACTTATGTTGATTAGTCAGTGAATTATTGGAAATATATCGATAGAATTTGTTTTGTTAAAACATTATACGATAATCAAGAACAATCACGCGGTTGACAAGGAAATCTAAATCATCAGAGATAGCCAACTTGGTTTTTTCCGTAAGTCTGTAAATAGTGTTATCTACAATTAAATTTCTCATTAGAACTGTGTGTTTGTTTTTTTTGAAGGTAGGGATAATCTGACTATATGCAATACTTATGAAACATAGTACATAGTGATTTCATTTTTATAAATAAACAATAGTTGTGTGTGTTTTAGACAACGAATGATTGTCAATGAATTATATATGTGTATATATATGAATGATATATGTACACATATATAATTCAGCATAAATGTAATGTGAATTAGATTCACACACGATTATATTTTTGCAATAGGTCGGTGCTATTAGAAAACGATTTACTGTCACATTTGTCATTTTGGACACATCTTTTTTTGAGCTCCATTGTCCTGGATTTCATTGTTAATAGTGGTTTTATTTTTTATGTCAGAAGATATTGTTGCAAAAATTATCAGATATTAATACATAAATCTGGAATCTTACTAAGATCATTGGCACGAGATGTTTACCGAATATTCACTTCTCTCTCTCTCTTTCTCTCTCTCTCTCTCTCTCTCTCTGTTTTCTTAATTATTTTTTTTCTTTCTCTCCTTCGTAAAGATCAAAACCAAGGTCAACCCGTTGCATCTACTCCGAAACTTAAGAGCCGAATTTGAAAGCCTCGTTAAATTTCCATCCCGTATTTTTCTTTGTCATTTATGAGATCCATTTTTAGTCATTTATTTAGATTATTTCATTGCTAGAAACGATAGATAGAAATCGATATTTTTATATTTCGTTAAATCTATCACGAATTCTGAGATAGAGTGATTCTCATCAATGATGAGTGACACATCGTTTCTGTTATTATATTTCTTCTTTCTCTCTCTCTCTCTCTTTCGCAAATAGGATACTTCCAGATATTTGCATTGGGCAGAATTATCGTTCCTTTACTTCTTTTTGGCAGTCGAAGGTCAAACTGGAGGTGTGCCCGTAAAATCACGAGACTCTATGGGCCGTATTACCATAATAAAAAGAAAGGCAAAAACTATCAAACGATTCTCTCATAAGAGTTCACCGTTATCGATGGACGAGCGACGTGATCGACGCCGAATAACAAAACGTTAATTAACATCCTCGGCTTAAACCGTTACCTTGCCTTCGACAAAGCGAACAACACGGTCGTAGCACGCGAGGATACTTCCAATAAACGTTTCTTTCTCTCGATCTATCCTATCCACTTGATGAATATTCTTCAAGTACGGATGTCACCTGCATCTCTTTGTTCTTCGTCTTTAACTTTGTCACGCATTGTAATTAAAGTATATATAATTATATGATAGAGTAATTTACGAAATTATGTAAAACATGTTTTATAAATAATTATTTATGTTTTTAGAGATGAATTAAAATAAGATAGAGACTAATGTCCTATCAGACTATTCCTTCGTAGTATTTTTGAATTGTATCTAATCTTATATAAATTTTTAGATAGATTCTACCGAAAGACTATAAATTGACTATAATTTAATTATCAATCATGATTAATAGGAAGATCAATAATTCATAAGCCACGAATTTATGATTTCATTAATTAATAGATTATCTTAAGAGCCGTTTTCAAAATCTGTGTTTTTTTTTCGATTAGCGTCTCGGAGTTTTAAGCGAGATACAAAAGTATTCATTTTAACAAAATATTCAAGAAACTTTTGTTTGATTCAATGTTTGTATTCAAAGTAACGAGCAAAACACAGGAGTCACGGTACTGATGCATCACGCATCTTAATTCGCGATACGCGAGGATATCCATCGGCCCTCGCGGACGAACGAGAGAGGACGCATCTCGCACAATGCGTTTCCGCTCGTTTATTTTTAACCATCATCGCGACATTACTACCTCTTCATTTCGATGGTGGTCGTAGAATTCGAAGGACGGTCTTTGATTTCTCCCGAGAGACTTGCCATCGCGCGCACAGTTTCCCCATCGCCAAATTCGGATCGTTATTCGATGTCGGTCCCGTCCATGGAAAGAGAAAGAGAGAGAAAAAGGGAAAAACTGAGACGAGAAAGAACTTCGACTCGAGATTTTACAACTTCAAAACATCGTCTTCCCCTTTAGTCAACCGTGGTCTCGATCGTTAATTTTAGTTATCGCACTCGTCACAAACTCGTAGCACCGGTACTCGCGATCGTTCGTCGCGAACGAGTCTCTTTTCACGATTGAAATAATCCTATGCACAGATCGTGCAACATTTTATATAATTGTTATAAGTAAAGATTCTCTTTTCAAGCGTGCGAGCAAATCTCGCGTTGATGAAACTTTCGGTCGCTTTTCTTGCGAAGGAAGTTATAGTCGCAAACAATTGCGCAATTTGACGCGGGTATAAGCCTAGGATTTCCTGGAGTACGTTTTACGATGCCATTATATTGCCGGTCGTAATTCTGTTTCCTATGTCGGGTGAAAATTGCAAATTCAGAGAATTCTAGAAACGGTGTTGGAAACAATCCTTTATTTGCGTCCCCTGAAAACGTCGTAATATCTCGAATATAATTTGCAATTTCAATTACGAGATTCTGCAAGGAATCCACTCGACTGAATTAGCAGGAATTTTAAATCGTATACGCGATTGAACGAATATCGCACCTCGCGCTTCACCGGAATTCGCGATGTTTTTTATTTCTTGCACCGACTGGTTCTTGAATCATTCCAATACTTTGTTAGAAATGACCACGAAATAAGAAAATGTGCAGAAAATAGTTAAATCATATTATTGTGAAATCACACAGTCGACATTCTTGTGCTTCTGCCCATTAATTTCATATCTCCTTTAAGTCAAATTTTGTATTAATAGCTTTTATAAACTAATCCAATTACGGGACTCTCGGGGAACCGTTACTTACTTTTTCGTTTTAATCCTATTCAAAGATAGGATCGATGAATTTGTTATAATTGAGTTAGATGCATATATATATAATCCCGCACAAAAATAATTAAATCTTTATCAATGATTTATAAATTATTATAATAGACCCGGCATAATAGACTAAAAAATATATATTTGTAATAGGGGAGAAAATATCTCACATCGATTTCGTATTAAATTAATTTAGTCACAGCAGATTTATAAATATCTCTATCGCTGAGCTCTATTTTACATAAGTAAATCAATTCATTATGCAAACCACACGCATAACATGATAACATAATTTAGATGAAAAATTCTCTCAAAAATTCTAATCAATTCACGATTCTTTACTTGATTAAGAGATTACATTTTAATGCATTCGCGAGATACTCCTATTCGTGAGAGATTGCATTAAATCAACAACGTGAGAAATTGATTTTAGTAGCGGAAATGCACATAGATATACAGATTTTTTAGTTGTGCTTTTTATGCACGAATGAGTCGAGCATCATTATCACGGTACACGTGGCACGAAGATTTCACGATGGTATTAGTTGTGTCATCAGAGAACCGGTCGTTGTAGATCATTCCCCTTGAACAGAACGACGCCTTGATAAATCGATCGCTTTACGCTCCAAGGAGTTTCCGCAAAAACTCGATGAAGTGCTTCGATAACTGGCCGCAGAACTGTCTTGAGTGTCGAACAAATCGCATGGAGTTTAGAACATGCGACTTTAGAAAATATTTTATCGTGTATAAAATTGAGCGTCCTTCATTTTATTGTAATAAAAATTGTGCATAAATATATATTTATCTATCCTCCCCAATATTAAGGTAATACTAGGTCACATTTTTTTTAATGAAAAAGAGTTTCCGGCGAAAGTTAAAAAAATTATATATAAGTAGTACATATATATATAAGTGTATTTTTAGAAACTTCACTTGACAAGTTAAAAATGCATTATTTAATACTATTTTAAAAACTATTCCCCGCGTCTTTTTATATAATTATAGATTTCAAAATGACGTCTTCCACGGGAAAGCTGTTGTTTTCCCTTCCTGTGTTCCTGATACTCTTGGCGTACGGAGCAACCGGTGAGTTCTACTTCCACTAATAAGATAAAGCAATTTAAAAATTTGAATTAAAGAATGAATGAACAAGATAACAGAGAGATGACTGTGTGAATACATACATTGAATAAAATAAAAAAAATATAATATAAATATAATATAAAATTAAAATCACACATTTCATTGCACGCTTTGTGAGCCTGTTCAGTGAGAAAAGACTTGTTTTAATTTTATGTTATAATTATTTTATTCAATACACGTATAATCGATTGCATTTGTTGGATTTATTCAATACACGTATAATCGATTATATTTGTTAGTTATTTTTTAATTCAAGTTTTTAAATTGTTTTGTTATTGTGCAATTTTTTCTTGTATTTTAATTTAATGAGATAAAAATGATGAGATAAAGATAATTCATAAAAGATTAATTCACACTATCATTAAAATATTATGTTAATATAAGTTGGACTGAATTATGATACTTTCGTGATTCTTTATGTTTCGAAGTTAATAAAATTAATAGCGAATTAATAGCAAAGATAGATCAAAGATTATTATATTCCTTGATCTATTATAATGATTATAATAATTCCAATATAACGTATTTTATACGTATAAACTAATTTTGCTGTATTAATATTTCAGAAACTCCAAGGCTGGTATGTTATTTTAGCAATTGGGCTATCTATCGTCCGGACATAGGCAGTTACGGTATCAATGATATCCCCGCTGATATGTGTACGCACATTATCTACTCCTTCATCGGCCTGAGCAACGTTACCTGGGAAAGGCTTATTCTCGATGAGGAGCTCGACGTTGAGAAAGGTGGTTTTGACAAGTTCGTCGCTCTGAAGAAAAAGTATCCGCATCTGAAGACTCAGGTCGCTATCGGCGGTTGGGCCGAAGGTGGCAAAAAGTATAGCGAAATGGTCAGGATGAAAGCCAGGCGTGACTCGCTCATCAGGAGTATCGTCGGTAAGCATAATTTATGCATGAAAGGTAAAGTTTCTTCCACAGAATTCAAATAAATTCTAATAAAAAGAAACTGAAACAATTGAGATGAAATATATATTGAGATTTACTTCGCATTTTCTCCCCTAGAGGAGTACACAAATTTATCATCTTTCTCTCTTTTAATTAATGTAACTGAGAAAAAATTAAATTCTTGATTTCACTCACAGCTCTTATGAACCAATACGGCTTCGATGGCTTCGATCTTGATTGGGAATATCCGGCGGCTACCGATAGAGGCGGTACTTTTAGCGACAAGAACAACTTCTTTTACTTTGTCGAGGAGCTGAGGACAGCGTTCGACAAGGCAGGAAAAGGCTGGGAGATCACTATGGCAGTGCCGATGGCCCCGTTCCGTCTCAATGAGGGATATCACGTGCCAGAATTATGCGAGTAAGTTGCTTCTCATTGTAAAATAATGTTTTCAGCTGATCTAAAAGAGTAAAATATATGCATATAAAAAACGATGCGTGATACACATGCAACGACTTTTAACTTTTTTTAATATATATTCTTCTATTCTAAATAAATATTTCAATAATTACAGGCTTGTCAATGCCATCCACGTCATGTCGTATGATCTTCGGGGCAACTGGGCCGGATTTGCGGATGTTCACAGCCCACTCTACAGGAGACCCCACGATCAGTACGCCTACGAGAAACTAAACGTGGTATGTTTCCCACATCTTTTTTATCGATGAAAGCACAATTTTATATGACACATAATTATGTTGACGTAAGAGGCTACACATTATCGTGATAAAATTAACGAAAGAATTAATTATATAGTTATTTAAAAATATTTAATTTATAAATTAGTAATTAATAAAAAATGCAATCATCGTCATTATTTTAGCACGATGGTCTTCAACTCTGGGAAGACAAAGGATGTCCTGCCAACAAGCTCGTCGTAGGAATCCCGTTGTATGGACGTACTTTCACTCTCAGCCAAGGCAATAACAATAAAAAACCTGGAACTTACATCAATAAAGAAGCCGGTGGCGGCGCGCCCGGCAAATATACCGGAGCTAAAGGATTCTTGGCTTACTATGAAGTAAGTGATCGATCCTCGAAAGGACTGAGGAAGTCGAATAAAGCGCATTGATCACTTAAAATTTATTAAACCTATAGATCTGTATGGAACTACAAAAACCGGACAACGGGTGGACCAAGGAATACGACCAAGCAGGCAAAGTACCTTATATGTACAAAGGTAAGTTTAATTTTTATACGTTTAGAAATTTGTAAAATGGCTTGCAATTTCTCTGAGAATTTTTGATTGATAAATAAAATATGCAAAATTAATTCGTAAATATTACTGAATCAGTGAGTGATAAATAAAAAAATATTGTTTAAAATTATTCAGCTTCTTCAATAAATGAAAATATTATCTTAGTCACATTTTTATCATTTACAAATATTATATGATTCGAAGATATATTTAAAGATATATGAATATATTAGGAAAAATTTGAAACAGATGTTTTATTCTAATTAAAAAAATTTTTTTTAAAAGTATTTTGTGACTAGAAATTGATGTAGAGATATAGCATTTGTTTATCACTAATAAATCATAATTTATTGCTGCATTTATTGCTGTTTATTCTATATCAGAATATTTATTTCATAAAATCATGTAATCTTATACATATATACGATATATATATAAAGCACATTTTATTATTTGAAATCAGATTGTACAATCTTTTTATGACTCTAGCAATCTCTATATGACTCTAGCAAATATTGCTTTACAATAGTTTAAGTTATCGACAATTCTTGATTTATAGATACTCAATGGGTCGGTTACGAGGATGCTGATAGTATTGTTTACAAAATGAAGTTCCTCAAGGAAAAGAAATATCTCGGTGCTATGGTCTGGGCTGTCGATATGGATGATTTCAGAGGACTTTGCGGTCCTGTGAATCCCCTCATGACTACAATTTACAATTGTCTAAAAGGCTATACAGTAACACCTAAAAATTACAAGACAACGCCCAGAGTAAGATAATATAATTGGAATATATAATATGATATTTTTAAATCATTATATTATATATCATAGAATACAATATAATACAAAGAGTGTCACAGTTGCAAAAAATGCGCGACAATCTCTACAATAATTTAATATAATAATTGCAATTTATTTCTAGCCTGAATGGGATAGACCACCCAGTACTCCAGCCTCCACAGGTGAAAACAAACCGAAACCCACCAAACCTACCGAACCCACCAAACCTACCGAACCCACCAAACCTACCGAATCCACCAAAATACCCGAATGGACTACCGAATGGACTACCGAAACATCTCGTCCTACGACACCTACCACCTTGAAGCCAATTGATGATGACGAGGTTGCTTGTAATGGCCAGAATATTATTCCCAGCAAAGATTGCGCAACAGTATGTTCATAATACATCTTCATATTAATGAGATTGATAATGATTATTTAACTGAATATACAAGTATATGTTTACGGATTCTTGATATCTGAATTTCATCATCAGAAGACTATTTCCTTAAAATGGCTTGAGAATTCTCGTAACAAATACAAACTATTATTCATTCGCATTCCAACGAATTGGAGAATGAATCGCTCGCATGATTGTGTATATCTTTTTACAGTACTACATCTGTGATCACGGCAAGCCGATCAAAGCACGATGTGCGCCTGGTTTGATCTACCATAGTTCCAAGTTCATTTGCGACTGGCCGGCCAACGCCGATCGCGAGGAATGCAGACATGTTCGATCCATTTGAAATCTGTCGATTTCAATCATTTCATCGATTCATAAATCTTTAGAGTTTAGAAAGCTTATAGCTATAATTTCATACAAGCATTATTATTTTATTATTTGTTGTTGTGTGCGAGAGCACGTGCGAAATCAAATGTATCATTCTTTGCGAGCTATGATAAATCATACGCAGTTTATCAAAGCCTGGAAACTTTCTTAAATATGTACAACTTCCCATCCTTTACAATCCTGCATGGTGCAAAATTTATTTAATAAAATAAAAAGTTCAAGAAGAAAAAAAATTATTTTTTGAAGAATTTTAATTATTATTATTTTTAATAATTGAATCAGTCGAGAAACAGTACTTGAGAAAAATCATTATTTATTACAAAAATATATATTATGTTTCTAAAAAAACATTATTTATATAAAATTGTTTGTATTTTTGGAACAAAGATTTTTAGAAAGAAATATTTATTATGTAATATATCACAAGTAACACGCACATTTTTATTTGTACGAATGAAATGTGTATAAATGAAAAATAATTTAAGAATTTCTTAATAAATAATTGTCAGTTCATTTGTTTAGAATCAACGAAGATTTATCGAATTTTTCGCGCATTGCGCGCGATACAGACTCGTTTCTTCCTTTCCGCCGTTATTGGCGCTAACGTGTGAAAAAATGTGCGTTGACGTTAACAATGCGTGACGGTTGGCGCAAAAAATACGCTCTCGAATATGAAGTCAAGAGTGGTGAAAAAGCAAACAGACTTCCCGTTCGTAATCTGCCCCTGTCTACCAATGTTCTCCACATTCGCGTGATCCTCGCACGTGAATGAATACGTAAATTTTTAGCGGAAAAATCGTGCTCCGACACCCCAGAATCAAGGATCCCGAGTCTTGATTGACACCTGAATGTTCTCGTATGCATATAGAGCCACCCTCTGCCGCGTGATATATCTCTCTCTCTCTTTCTCTTTCCTCTTTTTTCATCCCCTAAATCCTGTCCACTCCCTCCTTCTTCCACATTCCGTGTTATGTTGCTTTTATCCGGAAGCGGAACTTGGTAACTGTTATAATTTAACGAGCACGTTTCTTTCTCCAGTTACCGCGGCATTTGCAAGAATGCACACCGGCAAAGCCCACGTTTCTTTTCCTCCTCTTCTCTTGTTCTGCTTAAGGCAGTTTCTTCTCATTCCACGACAATCATCGCGTTTTTTCGATCGAATAATGCGTCGAAAACGAAGACAAAAAAAAGTGAAAAAAGTCGAATGTTGCAAACGAATCGATGACGTGTTTCATGTGTCAGAGGGTGAGTGAGGCAACGGTTTCCGAAAATTAAAATAGCACCCTGTAGACTATAATTCGGACGATAGTCATTGATTTGGTTTCCGCGGTTTTCTCGCCGTTTCCATGGAAAATTTTCCCCAGGAAAAAATTCAAAACAGTTTTGTATATTTTCATAGTAGAAATCATTCGTCAACAAATTCATTCAAGATATGATCGATAATAATTGTGTATATTTAAAAATATAATATATTATATATTTTAATGAAAGAGAAAAGAGAGAGAGAAAATAAAAAAATATTAAAGATCGTGAAGAGCTTCTGTTCTCAAAGATATAGATAAATGAATTGATGTTGGAACTTAATTTCCAAATTGCTTATGCTTTACAATAATTTTCTTGATGCTTGATCTGCCAAAATTAATTAAACTGTCATATCAAAAGAGACGCGCGCGTGCCGACACAATATCATCCGAACGACATATAAATAATGTATTGTTGTTCGCGCTTCGGGGCTTCGACCCCGCGTCTACTTTTTGCGACCTGGGGCAGCATCAGGGGGTGCCGGAAGAGGCCACAGAATCTACTTTTATAACTCCATCGACAATTTTTCGGTTACCCTCTTCACTTTTCGACGGCATGCGCACCCGGCGCCGAACACTCACATACGTATCCTTCTCGTTTGATTTATCTCTCAGAATATAGATTTTCGGCATTTTTCCGGTAAATAACTTCAACCATTGTAGCAGCAAATCTATTTTATCAATGAGTATATCGATGAATCGCTTAAATGTACGATTATTTTTGTATCTCGAGTATAGATTCATCTATGATTTTTCTGATTGTGCGTTTTTTTTCAAGTATTTATGTGTAAAAGAGTATCGCGTAATATTAATAATTTTAACATATTAATAGCGATGCAAAATTTTAATATATTAATTGCGTTAATGAAAAAGTTTCTAAAATTCTATTTGTTTTTCATATATGACTAGAATATTACAAAGCGCGCTGAATTATCAATACCTATTCTCCGAGTGTGTGATTTCGTTTTTAAACAAACATATCAGGCAATTGCTTCGTAATGAAAGCAAACGATTCGTTTGAAACGTAGAATATATTTTTGTTTCGTGCCTTTTTGCTTTTGAAACAAATGCCTTTAACCCTGCCGGAGGCTAAGCTACAAGAGTCCCTACCTCATTTTTATTCGCACGACACATTGTCATAGGAGCCGCAAGCCGCTCGCTGCCGCGTAGACGTAATTTCAGCGAGCAAAAACGCCTATCGTTTCGCCCAGCCAGCCCAACCCGGCATGATCCGATTCCGCCCCGCGCGCGTCCGTGTAATCGCGTCCCTTTTATGCTAATCGGCAACCCTTCCGCATTTAACCAGCTGCACCGACGTCATTGTCTCGGCTCTCCGTGAACTTTTTCTCGCGCCGTGTTCCACGAGCTTGTTTTGTTACGTCTCGCCGCGGCGGAAAACAGCCACGCACGCGACCATCCCCTCGCCACCCGGATCGCTTTTTATCGCTCGATGACGATAGAAGAAAAAAAAAGGGTTGCGCGCCCGAGGGTGGATACGGCGCGTCGCGCGGGGAGTAAGCCTGCTCACGTAAAAACGAAGGGAGAGGTGAGGGGGAATGGGGAGGCTTAATGAAAGATACGTGTGCCGAGACACCCGCGGTCGAAAATCCGCGTAACGCGCTTTCCCCGTCAAGTTCGCGTGCGCTGGGTGCGCGAATTACGCGCGCGTTCCAACAATCCCGAGGGAAGCGGATGCGCGTTTGGTCCTCGCCAACACGAAGACCTGCCCGCCGGTATAAGAGAGGGGAAGCCCTTTAACCCTTTTACCCTCGAGGACATGCGCACTGTAAGCCGAGCGTCGCAATGCAATCTCGGTAATTGCTGCATCCGAGGCAAAATGGCAGGCCTGTCGTAGCGATGGCGCGTTTCGCGAATTATTCGCGGTCTCTCGAATCGCTGCCAGGTTGCTTATGCAATTTACTTCTTATCAGAGTCTGGGATATTGACTCGTCTGCAAGAATAATAATGTCGTAAGGAACATCTTCGTGAGTGAAGTAAGAATGAAACGAGACAGTATTTGAGCGTACGATAGAAAATACGATTGCTTTTGGCGGATATTGAGCTACGATATGTCTAAGAATTAATTCTTGGGAACTTTGTGATTTATCATCCTAGATAATTCGCGATACGAACAATGCAAGGGAAGATTTATTCGAACAATACCGGATATAATCGCACTGTTTTTGGCAACTCGCTCTTGAGAGCGCACAAATTTTTGATTAGCGTTTTATCTAGCCGTTCACTGGGTATGACCGGCCATTCACCAATACAACTACCCCCTAAAAGCGCACAAGCTCGAGCCGCAGATCGTAAGAGAGAAGCAATTACCGGAGGGATTTAAGGGAAGGCGAAAGGAATAACGCGCGCAGAGCTCCATCGGGGTTTTCCTCGAGGTCGATGGCAAGGCTCGCCCCGTAGTTGGCGAGGCGTGTCTTTGGTTTCGTTGAATTAAACATCGTGCCCGCTTCAAATCAGCTCGTTTCTCTTTGCTCCTTTTCTTTTCCTTCTTCGCCACGCTTCTTCCAACATGTGTATATATATATATATATATATATATATATATATATATATACATAAATGTTCGCCAAGTGCCTTTGATGCAGCGAATTATTGCCGTAAGATCTATTTCTTTGTGAACCTTTGTAATTAGTTCACGTTATTGCATTATCATTAATGTGTTTCTTGAAGCCTTCAGTAACTGAAAAAAATATATTTATAAGTAAATTTATTTATTAATAATATATTTATAAAATATATTTATAATTAAATTTATTTATGAATAACGAAAAGATACATAGAATATAATTGAAGTTAATGTAAGATAATAAAATAAGCCTTGCATTATTGATCTTTTAATTAACACAATTAAATTTTATAAACTTAATATACCAATAATATTTTTAATATCAACTCGTTCTTGAATTACATTTTAGACGTAACAAAAAAATGCAAACATACTCAAATCCGATATTAAAACCAGGAGTGTTTTCTCTCTCTCTTTCTTTCTTTCTTCACTTATCTATCTAACTATCTTTTTCTCTTTAATACAGAGAAGCACATAAGTCCTGGCCTCAGGTGTTACATGCTCGACGGGCTGTTTATGCTGGAGCTCGTAGCACTTTGCTTTTACCGAAAATTTATTTTCTTTTGTTATATACCGCGTCTTCCATTTCGTATGCTCCCGTGAAAAGAGATAAAAAGGGAGGCAGGTGACGCATAAAGTATAATGAACTTCTAACGACGTCAGCGGACCAGCGCACCATCGCGATAATTGAATTCGTTCGTAGACGGAAGAAAGAAAAAGTTTCTAGTAGAAACCGTCATCGGACGTATAACATATGTATCGCGAGGTTTACGACGAACTGGATTAGACCGACACGCGTCGCGGAAACGATAATACGTCACGAAAATGATTGCGGAGTAGCTTTCAAGAGGCGTGGAGGGTTTCGCGGTGAATCGGGTTTTTTGTGTCAAATCGATCTGCACTCGATCGAGAGAGGGTGTCACGAGGGCTGACACGACTGCGTAACGCTCGGGGCGTTGTAAGAAGGATGTTAAAGGGTATCCGCCCACGCGAATTTTATATATTTCTGAAATATGTGCACGCGTGATCGTAGTACATGATGCGTCTTGTTATTAATAGCTAAAATGGCAAGCTTCTCGAGTTTTGTAATCGAAAAAGGATTTACATTTATGTGACATTATTAATGTAGATATATAAATAGACAATATATATATTTTTAGTCATATATAATCATATTTAGCTTGTGATATTATTTTCGAATTTTACTTTTCGCCTAATTATTGAGCTTTGAATCTTGAGACTTTACAA